CATAGTGTAAGCATCCATACCCTCATGTTGCTTCTGCAACTCAGGAGACATAGCTGCAAGTATCACACATGCTGCAGTGTTATCGTCATCACTGTGTTTATTGTAAGCAGCCACCTCTTCCTGAGTGGAATTTTCAGTAGGCACCATTGGAAAGGACTGCTCAATGACATATCCAATTTTCTCATGCTTGAGAACGATTCTCAAATTGCGGTGCCAATCGAGAAAATTTGGTCCGCTCAGTTTGTTGGCATCCAGTATGCCTCTCAAATTCATATGATTACTCATGATTCAAAAAACTGTAAATGACGAAAAAAATAGAATTAATATGTATTATAATGCATGTGCATAAATTCAATATGGACTTTAATTAAACATGCTCCCACTGTCCAAAATAAATTCATGACCCTCATTCATAAATTATTTGAATTCACACTTGATTCACAGTGGGCTGGGATCCCATTCGTTGTATCGGGATCTTGAGTGTACTCAACAAATCCTAATAAAACATATAGGCAGATTTTATTATCAATTGTATCTCCATACAACTCCCAGATCATTAAGCCGACAACTTCTTTGTCTTCACACATCTTATGTGTTAGCTTAACATGCCTCTAAAACTTATCTCCTTGAGTGTACTCAACAAGCTAAGGTCGATTTAGGATTCTCGTTTTTCACTATAATGATGGAAGGCAAATAATACTAACTTAATAATTTTTGACGAGGGATTTAATGTGCAATGGTCTCATCAAACAATTATATATATATATATATATACACACACATATATTTAAACATACATCTACTATGCGAATAAATACACATATATATACATATATACATAAATATTAATATGGATGATTATGGACTTGTTCTATCTAGTTTTCCCGAGCCAAGAGGAAAACTAGTTGGTCAATTCCTAAGGGGTACATTATTGGACCAATACCAATACACCATCTTCATGGTGTCCACCTCTTCTTGCGCCTCCAATTAGCCCAACTTGCAACATGTATCCTATACTAGTTGGCACGCAGGCCTAAAAGAAAACGGACTCGCAGGCCCACAATAATAATAATAACAACGGACTCGCAGGCCCAATTATTTAATAAGGAGCTCGTAGGCCCACAATAATAATAAGAAGTAAATCAACCATTCAACACATCCATATGGTCGAGTCCATAATCATCCACAAACGTTCATCACATAAATGTTTCCTATGTATAATATCTAATATTATATGCAATGTCTCATAAATCTAGCAATTATAGTCGTCAAAATTAAATCAAAATTTTGGGATCGAGATAATTAAACAATTAATTAATCATATTAATTAATTAATTTAATTGACGGGCCAATTTAATTAAAATCAAATTTTAACCAAATATCGAATTAGAGTCCAACTCTAAATTCATAACTATTGGGCGAAGTAATTTAATCAAAATCGAATTTTAATTAACTATTAAATTAGAGTCATACTCTAAGTGCTAATTTGCATAGGGAAGTGGTGCTAATTCAAAACAAAATTTAATTAATTTAATATTAGAGTCCAACTCTAATAAAATTGAATTAATATTTTAATTTAGGACGAAATTTCCAAACATAATAAAAATTCAATTAAGGGTCAAACTAAATATTTAAGTTAAAATATAATTTTAACAAAAATATAAAAGTCGTCAAATTTTTAAATAAAATTTTTAATTCTAGGTCAAAATTAGGGTATGGGTCAAACCCAATTTAAAACTCATTTTAAAATAATTCAAAATTCAAAATCAAAACCTCTTTTGAAATTTTACAAAAGTTACCCAAAACGAAATTAACATCAGACCCTTCCAAAATCGGAATTTACAGAATAGGTCCCTGATTTAAAATTTGCAAACAGACCCCTTTTTGTGAAATTGCAACCAGGGGCATTTTAAAATAATTCAAAATTCAAAATTAAAACCCTTTTGAAATTTTACAAAAGTTACCCAAAATGAAATTAACAGCAGACCCTTCCAAAATCGGAATTTACAGAATAGGTCCCTGATTTAAAATTTGCAAATTGACCCCCTTTTGTGAAATTGCAACCAGGGGCCCCAAATTACATTAATTGCAACAGAGGCCTCCGCCTCCACCAAAACCCTAACCCTAAAAAAAAAAATTTTTTTTCTTTCTGGGGCGACGCCGCCTGTCAGAAAAACTACCAGCAGCGCAAGGCGCTGCCGGTTGCAGCGCGAAGGCGCTGCTGGGGTAGCGCCTCTCGCTGCCAGTTGCAGCGCGGAGGCGCTGCTGTTGCTGGTTGCAGCGTGAAGCGCTGCAGGAACAGCGCCCTCGCGCTGCAGGTTGCAGCACCTGCCGCACCGCACGGCGGCACCGCCCCGCCCCTCGACCCAAATTTTTTTTTTTTTTCAAGAACAGATCCAAAAAGATTAAAAAAAAAAATTTAAACTATATTTGCTAGATTTTTGGAATGAACGTGATTAAACTAACATTTAATTTAATCAACAGTTAAACAGTTCTTAACAAATACAAAGTCGGCTCTGATACCACTGTTGGGAATTTACTTAAACATGCACAGCGGAATTTAACAAGTTTCAATTCCCATTCAGGATTCAGTTTTGTATTTAGATAAAAACTGTGATGAGAAATATACCTTTACTTGTAATTTGCAAACTCTTTCGCGTTATTCCTTTCCAGCAGCTTGAATCTGCCTCCCACAGCTGTCCAATTGTCCAGCCTCCAATGAAATCCACACAGAGAGAAGACAGCAACTGCTAGGGTTTCTTTCTTGTGCTAGCAAGAATAATGAATAACTTATGGACCTCAAACCCTAGCTGCATATATATATAAACCCAAACGGACCCGACCCGGTCCGGTCCAATATTTAATTAATCCAATTAATCAAACCCGGTCCGTGAATTAATTAATCCAATTAATTAATTCGGAATTATAAATAACAAATTCAATTAATTAATTTATCCAACGATTGTTAAATTAATCAATTGACAATTTGCAGTCTTCCAATTCTCTTTTGCGTGCGACCCATTAGGTTCCCGACCACGATACTTAACGTCGCGAAATATTATTTTGATCTAATCAAAATTGATAAATTAATATACCCTTTTAATTTATCGTCAATTCATATTCGCCGTCCCTGATTGACATCTAACAATGTGTCAGGGCAATACATGTGACGGGAAATGTCACGTGGTATGACAAAACCAAATTCGTTCGTTTACCGTGGAACTATTATCCCTTCGTCAATACGATCCGATCAATTACGAGATATGGAATTGTGTCAATCTCGATCATCGATCATATCTTTCATTCCAATATTAAGTCAATATAAATCGAAAACTCCTTTTCGACTTATGAGTACACCTTGGCCAAGGATTTCATCATCGACTTAATTGAATGAAACGCAGATCATAATCTCCTACTATCTAAGAGTGACGAATCCTTTATTGATCAATCACAACCTTCATACGATTCTTGACGTACCCGAACGATGTCGTATTAGCGGCCTCTTTCAGAGCAACATCCAATACCGCCAAAATATGACTGTCCTCATATAGGGTACTATGACGACCTCAAGTCAAAGGATCAATTCCACTACCGAACATTAGAGATTAGCCACTGACACTCAGATAGCTATCCATGTGGAATCTCTTAGCGGGTCTCCAATGTTTTGTTCTACAACAAAACATCCACATATTCATTTAAGTGTCACCACACTTTAGCTCGTGAGATCAGCTACTTACTTCATAAGTAAGAAATGCCACACGTGATGGTCTAACTGTATTAACGATATCCGTATCTCGTTATTACTTACGACCATGGTTTATTCAAGATCCAATTATATGTAATTTGTATCTCACAATCACAACTCCTTGTGATTAACAGATTACCTAAAAATTGGGTCTTCGGATTCTATTATTTAATATTATTTATTACAAAATTAATTTAAATAAATAATAGATCTCGCCAAAATCAAATGCACTAAATATATTAAAAACGTTTACAACCTAAATCGATTGGATTTAGGGCATAACACTTACACAATCAATATCCTACTAAAAGGAAAACAGTGATTCTTGTCAGCCCTCATTAGTTAAAGAGAAAAGAGAGGAATAGTTTGCTGTTATGTTAAAAAGGAGAACAACTGTACTGTATATGATGACGATTGTGTTGCATGTATATAATAGGTTTATATAATAGTTACGTATACATAATGTAATGAGATATGTTGGGTCAAAATTTCTTCAACCAAAAGTAAATAAAATAAAAAATCCTCACTCTTTTTTTGATACCTCATACCTTATCTGTATGTAAACCATTATATAATTGTCTATGTACAAGTAAAATTATTCATATGAAGAATATGTACATAAAAGAAGAGAGACGTCATTAAAACCTTGTTTGATCCTCAATATTTTCAAAATACATTTTTCTCTCTCTTCTTTTCAATCACAAATTCTTCAATAAAATAATATTACACGCAAGTCCAAAATTGTCCTTATTTTTGAACCGCACATTCTCCATTAATCTACTATTTCAAAATGCATTTTTTCAATAAAAATGGGGCTCAAAACAGGCTCTAAATATAACTAAGTTCTCAATTTTTTTCATTAGTACAACAACTCAAATAAATAATTTGGCAAACCAATCAGCAGATCCCAGAACACTAGAATTAAAATAAAATGGTATAATATTAGATGTAACTGATTTTCAGATACAATTTACTTAAAATATCAATCTTCTTTGTCAAAATCCATAGTAATGACAAGTATAATGATTTAAAGGAGTCCTTGTTCCCACGTAAAGACCACGCACACAAGTTCCAAGAAAGTAAAAAGTACAACTCTTTGCAATATCTACCTCAATTGCTTTTGCATAAGAGTTTATGAAGAGTTGGGATTTCCCAGCTATCGTGCGTGCATGCTGCCTTAAGTATCGACTTATCTCCATCTGCATGCCAAATATCTTCATTAAACAAGCTCAAATACATGTATATAATAAGGAAGTCCAAGATTCATACATCAATAGCCCCACCACCGGCAACTACAGTAGAATTTTTTAGAGTCCTTCTGACAATCATAATTGCATCGTGCAAACTTCTTTCAGCCTCTTCAATGAACTGAAAAAGTCAGGACTAACAAACTTGAATGCAAACGTTCAAATAACGCGATAACATGCATGGCATGATAATTACACACCTGATCAGCTGCACCACGAAGAACAAGAGTAGCAGTCTGACCTGATGGGCATCCACTAAATATATTAAGCCGTTCATTTCCAACTTGCTTCTCCTCAAAGAGCTCACAAGATCCAAGAACCTATTTCGTAGAAAATATTTTCCAGCCTGGATCAGTAGAGAGAAGAAAACATCTACTAGAAAGAACAGTTTAACTTCAAAAACATTTGCTACATATCTCCATTTGACAATTTAATTTAGATATAAAGGCCAGAGAGAGACCTCATCAATAATATTATTCACAGTTATCTGCACAGTTCCACCAGTAGCAGCTGCAACCCGCTGCAGATCTTCTTCAGTCACACGACCTGCATAAAATATATCTCGAGCTGAGCCTACGAGCCACACGCGAGCTCGTGTTTTTTTTTTGTACATTTTTTGCACCTTTTTTTTTTTTAAAAATTTCATATTTTTGGACAAGCCAGCTCGTCAAAATGACTCGTGGGCACAAGGCCCACGAGCCACTCGTGGGCTTGACGAGCCGAGCAGACTCGACTCGTGGGATCGAGCCCTCTGCTCGGCTCAGGCTCGGGGCCACCCACGAACCGACGAGCCGCTCGACCCATTTGACATCCCTACTTGTGATTTTCCTAGTAAAAAGAATATAAAAATTAACAAGTCAAAACCTGTGTGGCCAGATCACCAATAGCAAGCCGTGACAGAACAACGTTAGCTCCAAGTTTTACACATTTATCCAACTTATCGTAAATAATATTCCATTCAGCATATACAATTGATTGATACTGTAATGGATCAGACAGCCTGCGCGGACAATAAATTGCAAGGAAGGTAAGTCTCTGTCAAACTTACCATAAAAGAAAACGTGATTGCAAAATT